TTTACTGTGATAATTTTAAGAACCCATGTTTTTATTTCATATATTTCCAGGGACAATGTGTTTTGTGAAAATATAGATAAATAAATAATTATGAATATTGAATTAATGTTTTTTTTCTCTACGACTGTTATGAACAATCTTAAGAATTTCCCGGACTACCGTCACTGTCTTACACCTCCAACATACACTTTCAATGACTAAAAAAACTGTGGCAGAGATGACCGATATGTTTTTTCATAGCAATAAAATATAATTCAAATTATTGTTACCTACATAAATATATTTTTTTTCTCAAAAACAAAATTTATTAAATACAAATTGTGAAAAAAAAATAATCAATAATCCTCATAAAATAATATATAGTTAAAGTAATCTTATTTGAAAATGAAAATGTTAAATATAAAACATACAAATGTACTAAAATAGTGAGAGTTTAGTTTTTAATAATATTCTTGTCTAAAAAGTATTGGTAGGTATGGAACATAAAATAATTATATAGTTTCAATTAATATATTATTTTGAATGTCTGTAGTGTTTTTTAAAATAATAATAGCGTTATTTTTATGATGATGCAATAAAATAATATTCAAGTGTTATGAAATGATAATAAAAAAACACATTTATTTAACCTAATTATGAATAAGATCCATAAGTATCATATTATTATTACATAATGTAGTCATAATATGAATGCATAGTTTTAAAACAAATCGACAACATAATAAAAAATATAAATGATTTAAAAATTTTTTTTTTAAATTATCATAAATTATTATGTTATTAAAAACCACTTGACATACGCCATCGCAGTAAATGGTACCAACCTAAAGAGTAAATGACAGATTGTCTTAGAAAAATTGGGTTTTAAAATTATTTTATCATCTACCTTTATGCCTTTACTTTTAGTTTGTATATATTGTGAGACATATGGTATGTTCGTGATATTTGTAATTTTTAGGTATTTGTTTCAGGTGTAATATAACGAACCATACCTATATTCTACATTTGGTACTACTGTCGACTAACGTACAGTCGAGTATATGTGAAATACGTAAGTCTAACAATGAGCATAATATATTATAATTAGGCGTTTTAATAAGTTATGTAATGAACATATCTCGATTCAACCATATAATATGGAGAAGATTTATAGCAATCAAAAAGTGATTTTGTATACTATATATACAATGCAGAGGTAATTTCCTCAAGAAATATATTTAAATCCTTTGGTGTATAACTGTATAAGGTACCTGCCTTAAAATACATTTAAATTAATCCCTATAGTTTGTTAAACATTGATGAATTTACAGGTTACATTAACGTATAACGTATTGTTGTTTTAGTCAGCTCGCAATTCGTTGAAAAGAAAATTCCGATTCACAATGATTGAATGGATTATACCGCACAGTTTAATTACCTATATTGTGTGTTTCATGATATGCACATTATGCACATACATGTTTTCGTGTACAATTTCAGAGGTAGACATATAAAATAGCTACACGGGATAAAGAGAAAACAATAATCCTTGTCATCTATATTATTCTAAATTCAATAAGTATTACAAGACTTTTAAATACTCTTCTTCACACACACACACACACACATGTATTATTAAATGGGTCCTTTAAATAATTATTATTGCCACGCCTAAAACGCCACAACAATGCTATACAGCAGTAAATACAACGTATATTCGATAGATACTATATATTATATCTTGTGCTGCACATAGGCGAAATATATATGTACGCAATGTTATGCTTATATTGTTACAATACGAGTGTGTCTACAGTTATATCAAAATTATTTTTTTTTTTTTAATCGGTCAACGGATTTAAAAACTATACTTAACAATTATTACTTTTTACGCTCACAGTAATGCACTGGACCGGGAAAGACGTGTGTACGAGAGTGTGTGCATTTGCGCTGGAGGGGAGTGGAGTTCCGGCGAGACGTGAGCCCGTCATCGTTCCCGTCGGACTATATTATTATACACACATCCGAACTACGTTTCCGGGAACCATGTTAGGGGACGTAAGTAGTTAAACAATTAATGCCGGCACACAATGTCGGAAGGCGCAACCGTGTTGCAAAGCACACGGTGCGTAATCGCAGCATTTACATACAGAGTGTTCGCGTCGTGAGGTGCTCACCGAGAGCCCCGAGGACTGGAATCGAAATATTTTCGAGATCCTCGTCAAGACCATCATATTATAATGTAATTTATTTTATTTATTGCACACTATTCTTCTTCGGAGACGTCGCTCGCCGATCGCAACACTACTACGATATATGTATATATGGCATGTCTATTAGTAACATATAATAGTATACTACCTATATGGTATAGCGTACCGCACGGTGTTCCGGAAATGCGCCACCGTCTGTTTCCTGTCCGACCCAAATCTACGCTCTACCTATATACACGGCCGTACCTGTACACAAAAGTTGGAGAGTTGTGCAACGCGCGTTAAACTGTGCTAAAAAGACGACCGGGGCGGTATGGGAGCGGAAAAGACAAACTTCTGCATCGTGGCGTGTGTCTCGTGTATGTGCGTGTGTGTGGCACCGTAAAGTTTCTGGATTGCAACATGCAAAATTCGCGGTGGAACGAAGACTAGCTGTGACGTTTAATTTAATGATTTTTATTGGGCACGAAAAAATAACTGCAAAAAATAAAACTTTGACGGGGTGTATGAATGGCGCGCGTTGACAGTAAGAAAAAAAAGGATGCGGCGACGTCTTTGCGAGAAGCTTTTCTTTGGGTCATGTTTTCTATAGGCGGATGTTTTCCGAGACTTTAACCCGCGCGCCAACCGGCGATAATGGAAACCCTGGGCGGATACACACCGACAAAGATGAAATCCACAGAGTATATGTTTTACCCGCGGCTATATATTATGCGTGTGGACGCGTTCAATATATGGGTCGTCGACACGGCGGTGCAGCAGGTTTCAAAAGAAAATCGGTGGAAAAACTTTTTTTTTTTTTTTGATAAAGGTGTACGAATTTCGGTTCCCCCCTCCCCCCAATACCCACGGAATCACTAAATAAACATATACACACACACACACACGCGCGCGCGGAGTAAATACAAAATAATAATTATACGCACGCGATATATACACCTCAGCAAAACCGTAGCGTCATTCGCTTCTATATACTCATTTAATCTTGCTATAATTTATATTATATCATATGTTGTAAAAGAAAATTTCAACGACGACAAGCATTCCGGGTCAGACGACGACGAGAAAACTCTGCCGAAGTACGTCGTCGTTTGCGAAGGGCGTATATTATACATTATTTTTTTTTTTTTTTTTATTGATAATAAAGGCTTCAACATCTAGGTCATTAGCCTGTGGTTGTGATTACATTATCGTTAATTAGTGAATATACAAATAAATGACTAAATTCTAAATTAATTTTACGTTACAATTGTGGTATATATGGATTTTACAGTGATGTTGTATATTTACATTATATTTATAGCAGTATAGATCTATCTTTACATTAAATTTTTGTGTCAATGCCGATGGATTTGAAGAAGGTATGGATCAAGTGCGTGTTATGTTCTCCTAGAGCTTCCTCCATCGTTGATGGTTGGTTAAGGATGTTTCTTTCGTTGACATATAGCGGGCAGTCTAAGACTATATGTTTGATTGAGAGTGGTTCGTTACATTGGCTACAGAAGGGTTGTTCTTCATGTTTTATGATGTGAATGTGGGTGAGATTGGTATGGCCGATTCTTGTTCTGGTATTGATGATTTCGGATCGTCTGGAGGCATTGGGCTGAGTGTACCATTTAGTGATTTTCTTTTTAATTGATTTAAGTTTATTGGTGATTGGTATTTCATCCCAGGATGTTTGCCACATATTGGAAGTATGTATATTTATACATCTTTTGACGTCTTGGAATGGGAGGGTGGTAATGGTTGAGGATGAGGACGAGGTGATTGCCTCGTTTGCTAGTATATCTACTTTTTCATTTCCAGGAATGCCCGTATGTGAGGGAACCCACATGAATTCGATTGATTTATGGGTCGATGTGATGATATTATGTATTTGACAGATTATCTCATTAGAGGGGTTCGGTGCTTCGATTGCTAGAAGGGCGCTTAGGGAGTCGCTGATTATTAAGATTTTATTTGATAATGTTGACTTTCCGAACATTATGGCTTCTTTGATAGCTTGGGTTTCCGCTGTGAATATGCTGGCTTCAGGGAGGAGCTTAAATCGTTTTGAGGAGTGGCTTGTAGAGTAAGCGAATCCTACTCCGACAGAGGTTTTGGAGGCATCGGTATAGATATGATTAAAATCTTGAAATTCTGTGTGTAAAATGTCATTAAAGTTTGCTATAATAGTTGTGTGAGAGGTGCTATCCTTTTTGAAATGGAGGAGTTGCGTATTTATTTTAGGGGACCATTGCCAGTAGGGAGTTGACGTAAAAGGAAAGAGGGTGTCTGTGTTAATGATGCAGTTTGAATTATTGCACAGTTTGGTGTATGTGTCAATGATTTTTTCATGTTTCAATGGAGTTCTGAGGCTAGGAGAGGAGGTGAATATTTGTGATGCCATGTGGTATTCAAGGTTTTTTTTTTTTGCCACGTATTTTAAGATTTCTTTGTTTCTTCGGATCTGGAGAGGTGGTTCGCCTGCGATGCAAAGAATACTGGAAACTGGGCTCGTACGGAAAGCTCCTATTGAGAGTCTTACTCCTTCATTGTGAACTGGGTCAATTGTACGTAAGATGTTGTGGTTGGCTGAGTAGTAAATTAAAGAACCATAGTCAATTTTGGATACGATGAGTGATTTGTATATGGTGATAAGAGTGTTTTTTTCGGAACCCCATGTGTGGTGGGACAGCGTTTTGATGACTTTCATTCTCTTCTTGCATTCATTTTTTAGATTTTTGAGGTGTGGGACCCATGTGAATTTGCTGTCAAATATCATCCCGAGTATACGGATGCTTTCAGTGTATTCAATTTTTGTGTTGTTTAGGTATACATGATGGATTGTTTCATTTTTTTTTTGTTATTGAAAATTATGCAATGAGTTTTGGCTGGTGAGAACTTGAAGCCTGTGATGGAGGACCAGTCAGATAGGGCTTTTAGTGCTGTTTGGAGAAGTGCTACAGTAGTTTTGATATTAGCTCCTCTGCAATATATGTTGCAATCATCGGCGAATAGTGTGCATTTTATGGGAGGCTTTATGTTATTAAATATGTCATTAATGGCAACGAGAAACAATGTGACACTTATTGATGATCCTTGCGGTAGTCCGTTCTCAATGTCTAGATGTTCGGAAAGTGTATTGCCTAGTTTTACCTGGATTTTTCGATCTAGAAGGAAATTGTGAATAAAGGCTAGCATATTTCCTGTGATATTCCATTTTTGGAGGGAGGATAGTACTTTTTTTTTCCATACCATGTCATAGGCCTTTTCTATATCGAGAGCAATTAGGATAAGGTGTTGTTTTTTAATTATTGATTCAGTTATATCAGTGTGAAGTGTAGCTAAGACATCGTGGGTTGAATGGTTTTTGCGGAAGCCGCATTGTTGTTTTGTGAATTTTTTGTTCGTTTCGAGAAACCACACTAAGCGTTTGTTTATCATTTTTTCAAGTAATTTGCTTAGGGTACTGATAAGCGAAATTGGACGGTAGCTAAGAATATTAAATTTATCTTTGTCTGGTTTTAGTATAGGGATTACGAGTGCCTGTCTCCATTGATTGGGGAAAATTCCATTGTTCCAAATTAAGTTGAAAATTGCGAGGAGAGTGTTGATAGCATTATCCGATAAGTTTTTCAAGAAGGTGAAAGGAATATCGTCAGGTCCAGGACTTTTGCTGTTACAGTTGTGAAGTGCGAGGTGGAGTTCTTTTATATTGAATGGGTGATTATATTCCGCGTTGTCAGGTTGAGGATAGGGGTTAATTGTGATATTATTTTCAGTTTCATTTTTGAAATTTAAAAAGTTCTCCTCATAATTTGCATTGCTATTGTTTGATTGGAATGTCTCAGCAAAGGCATGTGCAATTTCGGAGGTTGAATGTAGTTCAGTTTGGTTGTGGTGCATATGGTTAGGAAGAGGTTGGTGTTTACATCCTTTGAGTGCACGAATTTTGTTCCAGACTGCTGACGGGTGGGTTCTGATATTGATTGTAGATGTATATTTCTGCCAGCATTCTAGTTTACTTTTTTTTGTAATGTATCTGGATTCAGCTTTGTATTTTTTAACTAGTATATGGTCTGTTTGTAAGTGGGTTTTTTTGAAGCGGTTGAGAGCTTTTTTATATTTTGTGATTGCGTTTTTACAATCTTCGTTCCACCATGGTACTGTTCTTTTGTTAAGAGGGCGACTAGATTTTCCAATTGCTATATTAGCTGCCTTTATTATTAGCGTTGATAATTTGTTGATCAGTTCATCAATGTGGGTTTGGTTTATGGGTAGTATATGTTCAATGGGAACTTCTAATTGGTTTTCTGTGATGTACTGGTCAACAAGGCAGGAGAATAGTTCCCAGTTTGGTGATTTGAGTTTCCATTTATTTATAGGGTCTGTTTTAGAAGATTGGTGAAAAAGTTGTAACTGTATTGGCCAGTGGTCGCTTCCATTATAGATTGGGAGGGTCTTCCATTCGATACTTGGGGCAATGTTTGAGCTTGCTATAGATAGGTCGATTGCTGATAGTTTTCCGTTAGCTGCGTTGTGTCTAGTAGGGCTACCATTGTTTAAGAGTATTATGTTCGGTTCTTCAAGCAGTTTCTCTATTGTTTTTCCTCTACTGTCCGTATAGGAGGAGCCCCATAGTGTATTCCGACTGTTAAAGTCACCAATTAATACAAAGGGTTTTGGTAGTTGGGAGATAATGTGGATAAGGTCATGGAGGCTGAAGTTGGTGCTGTCAGGGAGATATATATTGCATACACATATTTGGATTTGAAGTTTTATTGTTACTGCTATGGCTTCGAGATGTGTTTGGAGATTGACTTGGCTGTTTTCAATGTTATTTTTAACGAGTATGGCAACGCCACCACTCGCTCTGATAGGGTTTACGCGGTTCCTGCAATAGCTGGTATATTCTTTAACATGTGCAGTTTGTCCCATTTTGAGATTGGTTTCTTGGAGACATAGTACGCTGGGTTGTAAGTTGGAAAGGATTCGTTGTAAATCGGTGCTTCGTTTGTAGAAGCCATCTAGATTCCATTGTATGATATTGGTCATTATGATAAGGAAGTGGGGATAGATTTTGAGTAGTGTTTTATTGGTTTGATTGATTCAGGATTATACATTATTATTTTCGTTCGAGAATTATTATCGCCGTCGCCACTGTTAATTAATAGTGTGAAGCGAGAAGACGAAAACTCTGTTTCCAGACCAGAGGAAAGACTATTTATCACAGCCCCCGTCGACAGAACGCGAGCACACACGTTATTGTGCCTAGGCATATACATTATCCAATTATTATATAGTTAACAATTATTAAAATATGTACACGCATATATTTTAATATATTTTATACATACGGACGCATACATATATCACCGCATATGATGGACGCCCGCCTTGGAAAAATTAGAAATATTCAGTGAGGTACTAAATCCCTGAAACCAAACGTTAATATTTTTATAGAACGTTTTCGAATTGGTATGCAGCAGCAATACTCTCCATGTCCATTCTTGCAGTGGTCTCGATTTCATAAATCGAAAAAAGCGTTTAAAATAAATCAGAAGGTATGAAACAACACATTAATATTATACACATGTTATTCTTTCCCTGCAATAACGCTGAAATAATAAGCTTTTTAAAATACAATTAGTCACCGAATTTAATTTGAGAAACAAATTCGTAAATCATCAATTTGTATTCTATTTGGAATCATTAAACGTAAATAAGTATGTATTAGGTATATTATATTGTCGGTACTTTTGATGAATTAAGATTAGATTTGATTGGGTTACATGATTTATTGAATAACATATTTTTTCGTACCTACTCGTATATATGTGTCGTGTAAACGTAACACGTTAATTATTAATATTATAACCATATAGACATGTATTAAAAAAATCCAATATTATATGAAACGAGGTTATGTGGTGGCCAGGGGGGTGGTGGTGATTTTTCGGACTAAGGAAACGTCATAATATCGTTACCTTCATATTGTATTCCCATGCACACCATAATATGGTCCACGCGAGTAATATTCGTTTTAATAATATAATGCGTGATCCCACGCCCGAAAGCGGTGTACCCGACCGTCTGAATAAGTAATAAAACATTCGTTTCAAAAGCCGTCGCTATATATTATTATATTATTATATTATTATACCGTAAAACACACCATATTATAATATATTATACTATGTTAAGAGGACGCTGCTGCGTTGTCTGTGTTGTTACACGCACGTAACACACATATAGCTGGGAATCAACGTACCGGATTCTTATACTACAGTTTAATTATAGTTAATATTAGAGTAACATTTACATATCATCGAACTCGTAGAGGAGAATATTATATAAACCGTGCTCGAGCGAAGAGTTTTTTTGCATATTATATTTATTTGGAAACGAGTTATAAGAATTTGAAAAAAAAAATGAATTATTTAAGTGTAGGTACCTTCTATTGTAACTAAATTTAAAATGAAAATATAACGAAAAAAACTCATCGCTCGAGCACAGTTTGTATTATAATACCCTACTCTATAAATTCAATAATATGTAAATTTGCTCTAATATATTTATGAATAAACTGAAAATAAACTGCAGTAGTTTCAGTCATGTACGCAGATTTGTTATATGTTAAGCGTTTGTAAGACAGAGACAACACATGCAGGTGTAACGTCGAGACGGGAGCACATGAGTTTCGTCCCGTAATAAAAGTATATAATATATTTAAAGGAACACCGTACACAGGAATTGCGTCCCAAAAGATCCGGGACACGATTCGTGTATTTTAATCAGGGGTTCTTAAACAACGAATAATTAAATAAATATTATATTATAATATTACAATATATTATAGTTTGTTGAATGATTAATATTATGATGTAACAAAACGGCAAATACACGTTATTGAATCCAATCAAAAGTCAATATGGTAAATAGTATAATATAGGTAATAATAATAAATAAATAACAATATAAATATAAGTCAATCAAAAATTTGTTTGTCGAGAGTAACAAAAAATCCTATAGGTATAGTTACGTTGAATCTAATCAAATATCAATATGGTCAATAATATAATTAAATAAATAAACAAATGATACAAATATACCTAACCATAAATTAATCAAAAATGTCAGTCATAAATTAGGTTTATACTTTAAACATAAATATGTTTTTGGGCAGGGTACAGATATTTTATTTTTCTAACACCACAGAAACGAATAAAATGTAAAAATTACCTGATTCCCAATAGGTATATATAGGTTCAACTAATATGGTTACTTATTAATACATAATATTGATTCATATTTTCTTCAAAGTGAAAAATATCAAGTGGCGTGCTACGTTTATGTCACACGATCATCAATTTGTTTTAAGCTTTTTACAAATTCTAACTTTGTTATTTTATTAGCATTTCATTTTTAAATCCGATTTTCTTTAAATTATATACTGCGTTTCGGTGGTGTTTCCGAAATCGACGTGTATATATTATCTATATAGATTCTAATTAACATTACCTATACAGTATGCGTTTGAATCATTTTTAAAATATCTAAAAATATAAAAATATTTGGATGGAAAATATTTAGAAAACTTTTAAATGTTTTGTGAAAAGACTCGCTGCATACGTCGTTCGATGTAAACTTGAACTCCTTCTGCCTATATTGATATAAAGAAGAGTGATTCTCCTGAAATATAATTGTTGAATAAATAATCAGCCAAATCTAAACATTTAGAATCAACAGGTTGTTTCTGATAATTCAAAAGAAAAAAAAACCACAAGCTTTCTGTGGACAGAGTGGACTTAAAATAAATATTATACTCTTTTCCCAAGCTAATAACCTTGTAGTTGATGCTGTACCATGAATGAAAAAAAAATATATATATAATCCAAAAAAATACTATGAATATTATTTAATAATAATTTATAATATTACTCAATTTAGTATCTAGTACATAATATCAGAGCCGAGTATAAAATATACACCAAGCAGAACCCTTGAGTACGAAAAAAAAATTATACAGCCTGACCAATGTATATATACAAATTATTCTTATAGATACATCTATTTTTAAGAGACTCAACTAAGGTGCTAGGGTAGCATCGTCGATGTTATCATATATTAATCGTAACACGAGTGCATGCCGAGGTCGGGTAGTGTTTTGGAAAGTTCTCAATATATCTTTAAGTTGTCATTTTATACGCCACTAATACGTCATTATATTACTATTATTATTACTATTTTGGTTGTTGTTATTGTTATTATTGCATTGCGGCCCGCGATCTCAAAATACTGGCACGCTTACTAACAAATGATTTATCGACGATCGTTTAGGTATATACCTGCTGCGCCGTATACTATATTATGCACTGCAGCTAGTAGACACTGATTTCGTGCGTTACTTATATTTTATATTATACAGGGTGATTCACTAGAGCCCCCCATTGTATCCTATAATCATGTAATTTATTTAATTCAAACTTTTCGAATTTTCAACATTAAGTCTAAAAACCTTATCAGTTATCACTAAACTCTCAGATTTTTTTGAAACTTCTTTTTATCAAATAAGAACTTCTCATTTTTACTGTATACATACAAATTGTCAAACAGAAAATAATTATGTAACTAAATCAAATATCAAACGAACAGTTATTTAATGACTAAATGTAATGTAATATGATAGGTAAAATGGGTTTAAGTGGAGTAATGATTTTAAAAAATATCATACCTAACTAATTTAGGTATTAAATGTATAGACAATAAATCTTCCAAGATGTGGAAATAGTTTTAAAATATGACAAGCATAATTCAAGCTCAAAAAACCAGAACAAAAAAAAAAAAACAGTACCTAAAGGATAAAAATGAGTGACCCTGGGTGAATCACCCTGTATGGATAAGGA